CTCCAACCCCCCCAAGTCTCTTCAAACCCCTGAGGTCTCTCCAAACCCCCCAGGTCTCTCCAAACCCCCAAGGTCTCTCCACAACCCCCAGGTTCTCTCCAAAACCCCAGGTCTCTACAAACCCCCAAAGTCTCTCCAAACCCCCAAAGTCTCTCCAAACCCCTGAGGTCTCTCCAAACCCCCAAAGTCTCTCCAAACCCCTGAGGTCTCTCCAAACCCCTCAGGTCTCTTCAAACCCCCCAGGTCTCTCCAAACCCCCCAGGTCTCTCCAAACCCCCGAGGTATCACCACCCGGGTGAAGACCTCACCGATCGCCTCAGGCGGCCGTCTCTTCAGCGAGGGGGGAGCGCTCTCCTTGCGCGTCAGGGGGTTCTTGCGTCGGTCAAGGCACTTCCTGGGCTTGCAACGCACCTTCAGGTTGGGCTCAGACGCTGCGAGCAGATAAGGCAGTCAGTGCCGGCCCCGCTGATGGTGGGGACGAAGCCAGACTGGTTTTGTGGGGACGTGCCACCCCACCTCTCAGCTCCAGCCGTCCCCTGCCAGCGGGCTGCGAGGGCATCACAGCGGTGCGAGGGCATCACAGTGGGAGGGAGATGGCCTTATCCCCAAAGCCTCACCTGTCTTCCGCAGTGGAAAATGCTCCGGGGGGTCAAGAGAGGTGCTGGGGACAGGAGGCAGGAAGGTGCTGAGCACAGGAGGGGAAGGGCCCTCAGGATCCAGAGGCTCCAGAGACCTACAGGGAGAAGCCACCTTGTTAGAGACCCTTCCCAGCTGGCAGCCATGGGCCACCCATGCGACAACTCAAGTTGCGCCCATGGGGCTTTCCCTTTCCCAGGTCTGCAAGAGCTGCTCTGCTGGTGGCCAGAACGGCTTGTCCTGTCCACTACCACAAGCATCTAAGAAGGGATCCAGCTGCTGGATCAGCCTTGTCTTGGAACAAAAGATCAGAAGCCTGACAGTACTTTTTAGGTCTGGAGTTGGACAAGCCATCAAAGTCCAACGAGGTCAGGGAAAACAACATGGGAACTTCATCTACCTCCTGCAAACAACGCAGAACCAAACTGCCTCAGCCCAACACACGCCAGCTAAACAGCATCTCTAAAGACCAGGAAGCAGAAGATAACGGCAAGATCTTGCCCAAGACAAACAGCCACCTCTTCTGGGTCAGAAGGATGCCCTTGTTTTACCTGTACGGCATGGTTGTAGGGTTGGGGTTGGTGGTCCTCTCCAAAGCTGCCTGCTGCTTCTTCAGGATGACCTCAGCCAGCTTCTGCTTCACCACTGTGCTGGCCACAGCACCTGCAGACAGACCAGCAGGGACCACGCGGGCTGAGAGCTGGCACAGGGCACTTTAAAGGATCCCTGCAACCACGGGCATGGCCCCACAGCTCCCCCACGGCGGCGGAATTAACGCCAGGATGGCTGGAGACCCCCTACAAGCACAGGGGCACCAAAAAAACCCCGCTGAGATGCTTGGTGTGGTTCTCAGGTCAAGGTTGGCTCAGGGAGAGAAAGGCCAGCTGGGACAATCGGCGTTTCCCAGACGGACAGGGAAGCATCCCTGTCCCACACCCCAGCTCCCCACGGGGTCACACTCTGCCCCCGAACGGGGACGAGCCGACCCACCACAACCCGCTGGCAAAGAAACGGCAGCGACCCACGTTGGGCACCCGGCGAAACCCCCCCCAGGCAGAGGTCCCTCCCTCCCCGGGAGCCTCCCGTGTGTTCCCCACCTCGGACTAGCGCCCGTTCCCGTGCTCCCACCCCTGCCAAGCCATATCCCCATCCCTCCGTTCCGGCAGGAACGCTCTGTGGTTACACCAGGGATGCTCCGCGCTTTTGTGCCAGCGTTCGGCACCTCCGAGCACAAGTTAATTAATTAACTCGTATGATTAACTCCCAGGTTGCATAAAGGGGCTGTGCCACGCTCAGCCCGCGTTGGCAGGAGCTGTTTGCTCAGGAATGGCACGGAAAGGGCAAGCGCTGCGTTCTCAGCATTGCCATTAGCCCCGTCGGCCCCGAGAACCACGGCAGAGCAGTCGGTGCCCTCCAGCCGTTCGGGAGTGGAGGGTCGGAATGGGAAAACCCTGGCATCCCGACAGACCTCAGACAGGATGGGTGGGTGGGCATAAGGCTCACGGACACTGGGATGGGCACAGGGCATCTGACACGCTGCGTCTGCACCTTTGGGTGCTGATGCTGGGCTTCTGCACACCCAAAAGCTCGGGTTGCAGCGCCTGGCACCCGATGGCACAGGGACATCGCAGCCCTACAGGGTCTGTGACCATTTCTGCCCAGTGTGGGGGGGACCCACAAACCTCTCCCCACTGCCACAGGTGCTCCATTCTGGCGCTGGCAAGTTCAAGAGGCAATTTCATGCCCTGTCCCAGCGCACTGGGCAAGTCGGGTGGCACCACTGCAGTGGTCGTGGGGCACAATGTAATCATAGAATCATAGAATGGTTAGGGCTGGAAGGGACCTTCAAAGGTCATCTAGTCCAACCCCCCTGCAAGGAACAGGGATATCTCCAACTAGATCAGGTTGCTCGGGGCCTCGTCCAACCTGGCCTTGAATGTCTCCAGGGATGGAGCACCCATAATATTAGCACAGAGATCTCCTGGGACCACGTGGTTGGCATCGCTAGGAAGGCTATGAAGGACAAACACCAACCAGGCCAAGGAGTCCCCCCCAAAAAAAATCTCTTGCCAGCTGCTAAGTGCAACTCGCTGGCATCACTGCTCAGAAGGGCCAGGCTTCCCCACGGACTGTTCCCTGAGCCCCCGGGCGCAGCGACGGCTCCGTTCCAGGCACAGGACAGAGATGCTCAGTGGTGGGGACACTATCACACTCCTCCAGACTGGGAGAAGGCAGAGCTCGGGCTGGAAAAGGGCAGAACCACCCGCTGAACCCCCTTCCAAAAGCCACTCTGATCTCCATCGCTCCGTGAGCCCCATCCCCTGGTTCCAGGGACGTGGTTTCGGAGACGCGGCACCCGGTGCCGAGGCTCTTACTTCGCTTGCTCTTGTCCTTGTTGAGGATCTGCCGCAGCTCCTGCTCCTGCTGCCCCGGCTCAGCTTCACGGTGCGGGGACTCCATGGTCACCTGCGAGAGGAGAGGAGAGGGACATCAGCACCAGCAGACCCCAGTCTCGCCCAGCGCTGACCCAAGCCCTCTTACCACCTCCCCAAGCCCAAGGCACGACTACACGGTGATGGAGCATGTCTGAAACGGTCCGTTCTGTCATTTTTGGAGGGCTGATGGGCAGCCTTGGCCGACAGGAACATGTGAAGTTGTTTCCCCACGGCAAACCGCACACATCTTCGCCTCCAGAGACGCTCTCCCCAGGGACGTGGTAAAATTCAAACCAGTCTGCTTCAATTTGCTGCCTTTCATGGTGTTTTGACACAGCTGTAGCTAAGGCATGTAGCAACAAAAAATAAAAGTCGTGGTTGACTTAAAAGAGGAAAAAAGGAAAAAAAACCCTATTATACCAGTCTTAAAAGTTTGGATCTTGGTGTTTTCCAGAGCTGAGGTTTTCAGAGATGATCCCATCTCACAGGGAGGTCAGAAAGCACAAATGTCTCTAAGGACCCAACAGCAGCATCTCAAACTCTCCTTGTCTTGACCAAACTGATGTTCAGCCTCTCCTAAGAAGCCCCAGTGTGATCCCCCTGAGGGCTCCCAGACAAGTTTCTTGGGACCAGTGAGCCCGGGCAGCCACCGAGAGCAGGGCTGGTGCTCAGGGGCAGAGCACATGGGATGCCAGAGACCCAGATGAGGTTGGGCTCGTTTAGTCCGGAGGAGATGGGGTCCAACTGCATCTTCCACCACCCAAAGAAGAGATGGAGCCAGGCTCCTCTGAGGAGCCCAGCAAAAGGATGAGCAGCAACAGGACAGACGTGCCGAAAGGGAAATCCCATCTGGATATAGGAAATCCCATCTGGAGTGCGGCGCAGCCCTGCGACTGGGACGGGCAGGAGGTGATCTCTGAGCTTGGAGACGGGCACGACTTGCCAGGACATGGTCCTCCACAACCTGCCCGACCTCTGAAGTTGGCCCTGCTTTCCAGAGGAACCATCCAAGCTAAACCTTGCTGGAATTCCGTGCCAAGGCAGAGCCTGGCAGCAGCGGCTGCGCAGGGCAGGGGTGCTTCGCCGGGTGGCACCGAGAGAATTTCAGCACCGACTTCCCAGAAAAGCCAATTAGCTGGTAAAGTGAGTCGCGCTTTTCGGGCAGAGGGCCAGCGGCGGGCGAGCGGAGTGGCACATCCCAGGCACCGGGCATCCTGTCCAGTCGCTCCGGCTCCTCGTGCAGCACACCGGGCACGCAGCTGAGAACATTTCCGCGCTTCGCACATCCCCGGAGGCCCCGGCGCTCCCGCTGGCCTTGGCAGGATGGAGATTTGGCACGAAAGCAAGACACGAAACCCCCCCACCTGACTCCCTGCCCGGCCTCCTTGCGTCAGAGAGGTCTCCAGGCTGGGTAAAAAGCACTGCAGACTCAGGGGAAAGAAGGAATTCACCTGGGAAGGTTATTTTGGGGTTGGGATTTCCAGCCTCTTCCTCTTCATCCCTGCCAGGGACGGGAACTTGGACAAAGCCAGCCCCGACGCAGGGCACCGCTGGCAGACACGCACGGCACCATGAACTACGTGCTTTGGGGTTAAAACGAATTCCTCAAGGTGCCCAGTTCTCATCCAACCGCTACGGAAAGCGGGTCCCTCCCTCCCCACCCTGCGCCCCGGAGCGCGCCCGTACCCTGACGTGCTGGTGGGCGAGCTGCTCCCCTTG